GGGGTTTTTTTGTTTTTTCCCCAGCATGTTTCATCAAAAGTTATAATTATTTTCTTTGTTTAGAGTAAGATGCTCATTAAAAGATGAGACCCACAGCAATGGCAGCATATGGTGGCTGAAATAAAATCCTTTCTTGCCACAAAAGGAGATGTTCATATTAGATTTTTTTTCCTCCTCCCCTCTGATTCTCCATCGGGGAGCCCTTTGCAATTTAATCATCACTAAAATCATTAAAAAGATCTGAAGATTAAATTATATTGGCATTTGCAAAATTATGTAATACATTTACATTACAATGAAGAAATTAAAATAATGCATTTTCACTGTCTGGGGTGTATGAAATCTCCACATGGGAAATATAACTGGAGAAGTGGACAGACTCTTATTTTCTTTGCCTTTGGTGGCAGTTAATAGGCTAGCAGAGTTTCAGATTTCACTGTGTGAACCTTTCCGCACTCTCTTCCTTTGATGGATGTCCCTGAATCAAAAACTCTCGCTGGAATTTCCGAATTATGAAATGAAAATACATTTTTGAGAAAGAGTCTTTGTGAAATTGAATGAGATTTGACATACTTTCTCTAAATTCTACTTGAAAGATTTGTGGGGGGCTTGGGAAGTATTTAAGCATACATTATGATAGCCAAAGAGCCATTTGGTTTTTCCCATTAAGGGAACATTTTTGCGAATGCCTTATAAGTGTGTGTCTTCATTACAGGCCTGACAGATGAAGAGGTAGAGTTGGCCATCCAGCGTTCTGGCTCCACAGAAGCACTGCCTCTGGTCCCTGCAGGGCCTGCACATCCACTCCATGCAGCTCAGCTCCCTCCTGCACCGCTCAGTGAGTACATATATCATTTTCTCAACTTTTTTAGCACCTGCAAATGCATGCGTGCCCTACAGAAATAGTTTGAGACTTAAAGATTTGAGACTGAACAGAGATCCTTGTGCTTTGCAGATGTGTTGTTAGAGAGCTTCCCTCTTGCTTTTGTTAACCCTGTTTAGTTTGTTTAAATTATCTGTAGCTCCTCATATACCTCGCTCTTTACAAGTATTACGGTTATACGTAGCATACGACATATATTTCCTGCACTGTGGATTTAGACACAGGAAATATGAGCACAAGCTTATGAAGTCTCTTGCCATTCTGTTTCAAGGGGTTCCTCCTGGCGAGACCCCACACCACAACCTGTATCTTTATTACCTCAGGAGGTTATGAGTGCTGTCCACTGATTTACCAATGCAGAATGAAGTCCGCGTAATGCTTAACCCATATGACAATGATTCCAGATGTATTCCACCCTCATTTATTACCACACTGTCCTTGACTCCCCCAGCATCTCATGTTTTGTAATGAATGTGATGTTGATGGGATGGCCATGTAGTTAGGAAGACTCGCAGCTCTCTGTCCATAGTGGAGGGTTTTATATCAAAACGGCTATAAGGGAACTGCATAATGAGGTGAGAGCGCGGAGTCTTGTATGGGGGGTCATGCCGAAAAGAGGGGGCTACCTCCCTGTGATGTCCTTCTTATGGGGACGGTGCACAGGGACCCGCATCCATCTCTGTCGAAGTAATGGATACTCTGATCTCTATTTCCACACGGTAGAAGGACAGGAAGGCCTCCACTGAACCCAATAAATTTGAGAGGAGATTGGAAAAACGGGGGATGGAGACCACAGTTCCACAGCTTAAGTGACCAAATAAAAAAAAAAAAGGACAAGTAGAAGTGGTATAGAAAAAAGGAGAGATGGGGAAAGAATGAAAGGTCCTAAAAGAGGAGAAAAGAGAAAGTGAAGACCCCTGGTGATGCAGTGAGGCTTGTTCAGGGTCAAACACCTATCCCAAGGACTTCCAGGCCTTTCAGATGCGCCGTATTCTGGGATAGGTGACAAGTCTATCTCAGCTATGTTGACGAAGACCTAAATTTATGTGGTTACCATATGGATGTTGGAGATTGATTCAAAATTTTCGATAGGAAAGGTTACAGGATCATTGCAGTGTGCTGCAAAAGCAATGAAATGTGCCCTTGAGATGGAGAATAAAGTAGCATTCACCTTGGAAATATACCATGTAGTCCTGTATGACAGCGGGTCTCTCATTTTATTTGCATGTAAAAATCACACAAGTGCTAAGGCACAAAATCAATCTGGTTTACTTACTTCAAGCCAGTAAACATGTACCACATAACCCATTAGGTGAAATCAGACCTGTAATAGAATATCAATGGTGTGCTTCAGTGGCCTAGCCTCTAATAATTTCCTATTCATTTTGGCCCCACCAGAGTAAATAAAGAAAAACTCATATATTTCCTCAAGACTTGTTTGTTGTTTAGTGACATTTTCAGTTGAATGCTTCTCCTCTTAAGAGGGGAATTTCCACTTTGACAGACAGTTGGCCTACCCAGATGACAGCTTGCACAATGACACACTTTCACATTATCTGTCATTCAGCAAGACGGCAACTTCTAAAAGCACAAATACACTCTCTCTTACCTTTCTGTTTAGTTTTGAAGGTTTATATATAAACACTGTATCTGCCCCTGTCACCCCCACCTGAAAGGCTACCATTGGAAGACAATGGTAGCCTTTAATAGAAAAGCACAATAAAGAGTGCATGTTTATTTCTGTAGGCTTAACCCTTATGGTTCAGATGTTCTGCTTAAACAGGGTTCATTATTATGTCATACACACAAGAGAGGTGAGTACAGTCCTGTTCAATATCAATTAAATGTCAACTGTTTTACCAAAACCAAAATATTTTGCAAAATACAAAGCTTTAAGCAAAAATGAAATGCAACAAAAGTGAACACACTTGTGATTACCAATACACAACTTGCGTAATCTTTGATTACTGAACAAAAAGTGTTTTTCATTTGACCTAATTGTGTTAGCATGGTCATAAAATGACCTGTGAATGCCACGACTTTCTTAGTTTTGCACTTCTGGGCTGTTTCTCCTGTATATGCGTGTCTTCATGAGGGCGCTACATGGAAAAGAACTGGAAAATGGGATTCTGAGAAAAGGATACTGGAAGATCAATGACCCTTTTAAAATCAGTGGCACTACAGTCTCAGCTGTAATCAGGAGCTATAGAATAAGCTGTAGTACCACTAATCAGAGCTGCTGTGGCTGTCCCGCTAAAACAACGCCAAGGACAATGTGTTATTTGCAATGACAGGCAAGTGCTCTAGACTTACCACAGGGGTTGTTAATGGAAAGAAGTGCTAGTTGAGTTATATTAAATGTTTAATCGTGCAAAGGTCAGTCAGCATTCTTAAAAGAAATTATGCAATACTTTTAATGCTGCATTTCAAGTTTTAGTGCAGCTCGAGTTACACAAAGAGTCTTGTCTTGTATCCCGACTTCCTCCCCTCACTCCCAGCCAGTCACGGCGGGTGGCTGCCACTCCCTGAGTCTGGCTTTGCCCGAGGTTTCTTCCTGCTAAAAGGGAGTTTTTCTTTCCCACTGTCACCAAGAGTGCTTGCTCATAGGGGGTCGTTTGGGGTTTTCTCTGTATTATTATTATTATAGGATCTTTACCTTACAGTATAAAGCACCTTGAGGACACTGTTGCTGTGATTTGGGGCTATATAAATAAGTTGAACTAGCACAGTCAGGCAAAGTAGTGCATATGCATATTAATGGTGAAAGCTTAATGTTTAATCTTTCTTCTATGTCTAGGTCCAACGGGCTGCAGGTGGAGGGACTATGGTGCCCTTGCCATCATTATGGGGGGTATCACATTCTGTTTTTATCAGCTTTACAAGGCAAGTTACACGACCTCATTTTGTCTGTTTCATCACTGATTTATTTGTTTTAATGTGACCAGTTGTTGTGCTGTTAATATGCCACATCCTGACATCTGTCTTCACTGCCTCTCCCTTATATCACATTAAAATTGGTTAGCGTTAGTTTATGATGAACTACGGTGCTAGAATAGAAGACGCCTCTGCACTATGTAACAGCACTTTGGTCTTGTTATTAAAGCTACCCTGCTTTACGTCAAAGCATGATGTCATCTGAGCACATTTTCTCCTCCCCTCAAACAGATTTTTTTTTTGCTTTAAAAACATCTGCTGACACCACACACAACTACTTTTTTCATTTATTTTTTTGACATTCTACAGTCTAAAAATATTCACCGTTCTTTTTATTTTATTTTATTTTTTATCAGGCTTAGCAGCCCTTGAACAAGAGCTCAGGAGGCCCCTTGTCCCTGCTGACATTAATCCCATAGTAGTTGTTAGTAGTAGTCTGAGTGGCATGTGGAAGCCATTACTCTTGTTTTAAAGGAGGACAGGAGCTTTAGCAGTAGCTCTTGGACTAGGTGACAGCCCATTCTCCTTTGTGTATGGAGGAGAGAGAAGGGGAGCAGGTATCATGTATGTACATATTGCCCTGCTGACCATGTCAGATGCACTTGCTTTCCTTTAGTGCTGTTATGTCCTATTATTTCCTTTTTCATTAGAGAGCTTTTCATAAAGCTGCACATGCACATTCACAGACTGTACCAGTCCACTGTTTCCCACATGCTGCAGTGTTGGCCAGCCACCGGTCACCTGGGAGGTGGGATTCCCTGGTGGGACGGCACAGGTTGCTGTCATGTCACTAGTGTAGCGCCAGTCGCACCATATGTCCAGGCTTGTGCCCATACTTTATTTATGTTATGGTGCACCTTGTAAACACCACACTCTCAGCAACCCACTTATTAATTACCTCGTGTTGACACCCATTTAATCTTTTTCTCTAAAAAGTGTTTATTACTTGCACTGGTGTGGCTGCCTGCCACCTGAGCTGGAGAGAAAACCCGGCAGAGAGCTGGAAACTGGCAGTTACTCAGCCTTAAGAGCAAATAAACAAACACAGATATACAGGTAATTTTAAGGCAGTTCAGTGGTTCCCTAAATGTATGTGTGGACATTAGCTTTATATGAAACATACATGAAAAGGACTGAGCGAGATGCTCACAAACTGCTCGTCTGGGTAACCCTCTCACTGGGTAGCAAACATCCTTATTTGGCTGTCAGATATACATATCATTTGGTAGAGTTTTGTTTATTTAGTGGCAGAGATGATAAACAGAGTGACATTGTTTTTGGTTTTGGAAGACTATTTTCAGTGTTCACCACCATGTTTTTCCCTGTAGGCTGGTCTCTTGCTTTTACTGTCCTTTTCACAGTTTCATTCTTTTTATAATGTTGAAAATATGCTTTTGGGTTTGCAGCTTTTTGCTTAGAAAAGCAGCAGGTTTTTGACTTTTCTGCTCTATATTTAAAATGACTAATCTGTTATCACAGTTGTTGATTTTCTTACCCACTAATGGTTTCAATACGAACGTGTGTACACACCTATTTTATCATCTGCTCGAGAAATCTTTTCACCTAATCATGCACTTTAGACAGTGACGCACAAGTCCAATAAAACAATGCCATTGACCCTGGACTGCCACGTCTAGGTGGCCCTGTCTTTTCCTCATCTTTCTCCCCCTATCCACTAGAGAGAAGTGTAATATTGTGCCATGCTTTTAATTGCAGAAATACATCCTTCCCCTCATTATGGGAAGCCGAGAGGACAAGGAGCATCTGCAGAGGATGGAAAGCAACATTGCGGCAATGAGTGGCACGCTGACACAGACAGGTGAAGATTAATATCTTCATCACTTTCTCCCTCCTTAACATTTTCCCTCATTTATCTGTCGCCAAAATCGGGGGCCCTGCGCGTTTTTAACAAATGACGCCGCTGTCATTTCGCTTTAATTTGAAATTGCTTGTTTACTGTCAGGCTCGGGCTCAATTAATTACGTTTCGCTGAAAAGCTCTTAACCTCGGAATATTAATGAGGAGTTGGGAAATGACAACTTTTCTTCCACCCCACCCATCCCGTCTCACTCCCCCCTTCCATCCATCTCTCCCCCACCCTTCCGCCCTGCACCAACCTCACCCCCATCCAAACCTCCATCGCCATCATCATCATCCACCCTCTTCCCCATAGGTGGGCATAAAGTTCATTTTAATTTTGTGCGCGCGTGTATGTGTCTGTTTGTGTTTGTGTGCATGATGTGCACGAGTCGCAGTGGCACTGTGTGGCGTCTGGGCTCAGCGCTGGGCCTAGTGTGATTAAGTGCATGGTGACAGGTGCGGCTCCCATGTTGGACAGGTGAGGAATCTCAACCTGGCTGTCAGACGTGGAGGGAGAGAAAGAAGCGGGGAGAGAGATGCTTTCCGTGCTCTTCGTCAGTATAATTAAAAATCCAGGGAGGCGTAAATGAGAGAGGCACTCTGAGAAACTTTGGTCTCGTTAGCAGTAGTGTTAAACTAGAGTGTGTTTTTCACCGGAAAGCTACCAATCCCCATTTCAGACAGGTGGCTCTGGCACACCGTATTGTTTGTTTTGTGTTAATGATAATAATTAAAAGGCATTTTATTTCTAAGGTGCCTTTTCAGATTCTTTAAATTAAACCAAATGTTCCGGAGTTCTAAAACATGCAAGGTTATAGGGTATTAAATGAAACATTAATGCCACTTCTTAAAAGAAAGTTGCACTGTTTAGGTAAGCTTTGTCTCAAATGTTTTTTGGTAGGCCTTAATGAATTTTTTAAAATTCATATTTCATTTGTAAAACAGGTGTAAACCTTATATTATTAATCTATTAGTAAATTGTTTACGTCTCTCACTTGTTTTTCAGGTTCTATAGCGAAAGACCTGTGTTTATGTCGATTTTTTTTTTTTTTAGCCTGAGAGACAAAGAGGGGCTGAACTTGATTATAAATACAATCTGATTATTTTAAATACAGACATCCTTTGTTTGATTTTCCCGTCATCTCCAAATGAAAACAAATCGAGAATCTGAGTTTATGGCTTCTGTCACGGACCAACGTAGTGCAGATGAAAATATGGCTGTTATCATTTTATCCAGTCACACCCATGCTATTGTTTTCTGGCTGGCAAAGGTAGGTGGAGGGCTGCAATTGTGTAGGATCGCGTGCAAGGTGTGCCGCCCTGAATCTGATTAACAAATATATGTTCTTTTATGGTCATTTTCTCCCAACTATGCAAACACATTTCCTCTGGCTACTTCACTGCCCATTCTTGCTCTACTTATCACTGATTGGAGATTTGCCAACTTGCAAACCCTGTTTTGTTTGCTACCAAAGACAGGATTTCTCAGTAGGAGTTTTTTTTTCCCCCTCTCCCAGTGTGAAGGTGAGACTCTAAAGGGAGAGAAAAAAAACACAGGTCTTTTCTTCAGTCAATAGAGGGAACTAATTTGCTATGACTGCAGTAGCCACACTGCTATTGTAGTTAATGACTGTTGTAGTTAACAGTTGGGGAGAGGGGTTGCAATTACACTGAGAGTTTTCTCCCCCTGCTTTCTCTTTGTCTTTCTCTCCCTCTCGCTCCTCTCTGCACTGAGTAATAGCGACCGACTGCCTCGCCGCTGCCAATTGCTTGAACCCCCTTTTGTTAAAGTTCATGTGTTTCTCTAGTGCCAGGCGCAATGAGGTGATGTATCCTTTTGAATGGGGACTACATTAGTCTCTCTCGCCAGCCTCAGCTCAAGAGTAAGGGCCTTGACTCCCATTATGATTTGCCTACAACTTCACACAGACAATTAATGAATGGATCTTGGAACTACTTCAGCGCGCCCAGGCTGTAATGGAATTGTGCGGCTGTTTGGGCACTCTTTGTTGGTGGGAGCCATATTGGTGACCAGCTGGCCATTAAAGACAGAGACAGGCCTGGACATATGTAGTGTACATTATATTGAGGTATTTACTGAATAATTTACTGAATGCACAATGTGCATCCCTCTCACAGCAGCTGCAAGCACCACACATCATCTTGCCTCTGATTCTCTCTAACACAAATGCATGCACACACGCACACATCGCAGCTACAGCCTCCTTCTGATTCATGCCTGGCCAAAGTCATTGACTTTATTAATATTCCTGGCTTCATATCTGTGATAACTGGGAATAAGAGTCTAGGCCGTACAAAAGAGTCAACTTTCTGGAGAGACATTAAAAAGAGTTTAGCTGCGGACGGCTGAAAATGCAGTGGCGTTGGTAATTCGGGAGGCGCAGCATTACAGGCTGGCAGAGTGACCCACACATCTGGATAAGCTGTTTTGTGGTAAGGTGGAATCGCAGACTAATAGGGCAGCTCTCGGTTTAAAGTGCACACCCCGTCATAGTAACACCTTTTTAAGCACGGGTTGCCATACCATTTAATTTTATTGCCGTCTTTAGAAAGGTTGGTCGCACTCTGGATCACAAAACTCACTGAAAAACTGAAACTGTTTGCACAAAAGTCTCCAGCCCCAACCGGCAGTCCTGCTCGAACTCGTATTCTGTAGAAAGCTTGAAAAGATCAAACGTTTCAGCACCCCACCTATATTGATACAACTCCACCCATTTAAACACAGGTGTCACTGCAAGATATTAGTGTCTTTGAAAGATCAAATATTTTGTCTGTGCTGGTTTTTCAAAAGAAGCCCAGCTCCAAAGCTAGGCGCTCTGTCTTTTGTCCTGGCCTGGGTTAATGTGAGAGCAGGGGTTCTTTACATCCCGTCCAGCCGGCTGCAGCACAGGCTTTTAACCATTGGCCTGACAACCTCAGCAGTGGACCGCCACAATATCTGTTGATGTTAATCCTATTAGGCTTGATTTAACACTTTACACGCCCATGATTTATATGAATGTTTATTGGTTTTCTGTAATATAATCAGCTCGGGGAAACTTAATGCATTGTTTGGTAATACACGCGTGACTGGAAGCAGGGGCAACAAACTGTGCCTGGTGTTATTTGAAATCATACACCTTCCTCCAACACCAACACTTGAACTAATTCAATCTTCAAAGTCAATGGAAAAAGAACAATATTTATTAGGATTAGGGGGGACATTTTGTCTGGCAGCCTCCTCCCAAATGAGAGCCTTGTTTTTTTCCTTTGTTGATCGTTTGAGGATTTAAAGATGCATTAGAAGGCAGTGTCTGGGTGGATAATGGAAGGTTAGAGACTGTTATTTGATTTAAGTTCAGACACTAGAGATTAATACCTCCATCCTATGTGCCCCCTCCTTCCCACTATCTACCCCCGACGCCTCGGACCAAAAAGCTGCGACTAAAGTTACCCGGTATTAGCTTTGATTACAATTCTCAGAGGGCCGCTTTGATCAGTGATTCGAGTCTCATCGGTTCTGTCATTGTGGAAAGAAAACTGTTGTTTTGTATCAATTAAATAACTTCATCATAAAACATAAAGCTGCGCGCCTTTTTTCTTTCTTTCTTTCTTTCTTTCTTTTTTAAAAGACAAACTTGAATCACTTTGTCATCTCTTACTCTGCTTGTTCTTCACAGTCAGCCAGCTGCAGCAGACCCTGCTCTCTATCCAGGAGGTGCTGGTCCAGCAGCAGCAGAAAATCCAGGAACTCTCCCAGGAACTAGCTGCATCACAGGTGGGTAGCAGCTCATTAGGAACTCTGTATCCTTCACTTGACAGCCCCAGCAATTTGTTAGAAGACCACCAATACTGAGGTAGAAATCTGGCGTTGTACCTGATAGCGTCGCTTTCCTCTTTTGCCGGTTTTACTGGTCAGCTTTTAGAACACGTACTACATAAAGCTGTGGCCAGTTTAGAATTAAAGTAAGTTAAATCTTAATCTGTCCATTCATTAAAGCATGAAAGTTTTTATTCATTACATGTTTATTGTGGACTAACATCGGTGTAATGAAACAACTTTGCGGTGCTGACAGTAAGCGAGGCCACGCTGCAGTTTGGACACCTTTTTAAAGGTCCGTTATTTTGTGATTGATGTTTTTGAGGAAAGCTAGACGGGCAGTAACTTTGGAATTGCAGAAGAGCTCGGTAAACGTGAGGTTGCAGCTCAAAATCTCCAGATTGATGAGGAGAGGGAGGAGGTTTTCTCGAGGCCTCTGTGTACTAAAATCTTTGAGTCATAACTACCCAAGACAGACAGCCTTATTATACTGTATATCATCAGAACACAAGCTACAAAAAAATAAGGTGCAGCTCATCATGGGACCATAATCTTTAACCATATCGTTCCTCTTTGCCTTGATTTTTATAGTCGCTGTCCATAATCTCCTCAGAATTGTAAGTGTTTAGGAGAATCGGACTGAGTGATTGTTCTAAAACTTATGTGCAGGGATGAAATGTTGCTTGCTTTTTATAACGGCGCTCATAAATTGCTTTATGATCTCTGGGCTCTAAAAATTGCCTTGGAAGAGACAATCTTAGACAATGTTTTATGTCCACAGCTTGTTAAGCACATGGGTGTGTAACTGAAGCATCTGGATATGGCAGGAAAACATATGTGGACACATCTGCTTCGGCACAAACGAGGAGGAAAAATATGGATAACTTCCCTGGACGGGGTTCATCAAAAACTGAAGACTCGAAGCTCTTTTTTGTTCTTTCAGGATCTGAGCTGCACATTGTCTCTGTGTAGCGTAGAACGAACACATTGATGGACTAAATCAGCATGTATGATGGGACCTGTGATCTGATTTGATCCCACGCTGAGCTGAAACAGAACTATCTAAGATAGCGTACAGGAGGCCCCGTTTAAACAATGAGTTTCTTCCGGCACAAAGCAGTGTTATTTATTTTATTTATCTCTAAATCACAGATTGGATTAAAAAGTGTCCCCTTCATTTGCTATGAGTGCCTTGTTGGACAGCAGTAGTGTATAAAAAGTATATTTCCCATCAAAACACCCATTAAACAAATCATAAACTCTGCTTTATAGTTATAGTGTTGATCTTAAATTTTCCCTGCGAGTCGGCACGAGGCCCCTCTGTTGTCTCAGGCCGCGGGGGGAAATTGGAAAATTGTTTTCAGGTCCGGCATTTTTGATGAGAAACACATGTTGGAGCTGGGGAGCTACTTATCATTCACCGTTTGTGGCTTTCAGGGTTTGCTTCACCACACTGCTCAAAGCGCGCCACGCTTAGCAATTATACCTCTCAACGCGGAAATGTGCCTTTAACCCAAAACACATGGAGACTTCTGTTTCCTCAGCTGCTAAGTAAACATTTCTCGTAGTCTGAAACCGCTCAATTGCGGAGCGCGTCTACTGTCCCTAAACTGGGGACCTCATTATGGAAGTGAGTTTAAATACTCTCGCACACACACACACACACACACACACACACACACAACACAGGCTGATTCTGCACATTTCCAGGCTTGAAAGCCTGGGACAGTTTCCCTCTTTTTCACTTTTCTCTCCGTTAAAATGATCCTGTAAAGACATGCTGTTCTATTCTACTTCTGCTGTTAAGCATAGATTTGCCTCAGGATGATTCATCCCTGATGTTAAACAGCCAAGTCTATTTCTGCTCTATTATCATTACAAATCTGCCTGTTAACTGTGTTTGCCCTGCTGTCTCAACTCACTGATGGCTCTCTTTATTAGTGGATACTACATAGAAGATTAGAAACCGTCTCTTTGGCTTGCGTAAGACGAACTGCCAGTAGGAAAGTGCATAAATAGAGTGAAATCAATTGCACTGTACCAGTGTTTCCACTCAAAAACACTCCTCTGGGGAGTTCCTTTTGAAGCTAATTCCATCATAAATATACATGTGTTACAAGAAAACACACTGTCTGCCGGCGGAATAACTGTGAATTAATTTGCCTTCAGACACTCTTAAACAAGGCTTGTTAAAGATCTTATCTTGTTGCTAATGGTCCACAGGCATTTATCTTCATTTAGCCAGATGCGCTGCCATCCTTGGGTGCTGCTAGATTTGGTCTTTTTTTTTTCTTTGCTTGTAATATATATTTTTCTTTTTTTCCCCTCTTTTTCCTGAAGCACTTAGTTAACCAGCAGACCCCATCACACGCACGCATCCACCCGAGACACATTAGTTACACGGCTTTTAAACCAGTTAGAGGAAATCTTTACTTTGAGCAGTATTTACACAGTAAAAGAAACCGCATCCATCCAGCACAGAGGCGGTTGATAATTTAATAGGTGGCACCTCCCTGCTAGATTGACTTTGCGTTATTTGGGTTTTGGTTGCTGGGTTTATTTGTTTTTTGGTTGTTTGTTTTTATGCATAATGCTCTTTGCGATTTAAAGAGCCAAGTGGAGAATTATGTTCTCCAGTCCTTAGGCCACACAGAGCCCTGCACCTGTACACCAGGAAGTGCAGTAAAAGTCAAACATGAGGGGGGAGGGGATGCACAGGCATAGCTCTGAAGATTTGTTTTAGCATACAAAGCAAAACTCTAGAACTGGAGCTCTGAATACAAGGCTATGGTAGTAGTTTAGCAAATCATGTATTTGTGTTGATGAAGTGAACTGAAAAAAAATTAAAAATATGAATTATTTACCTAGAGGTATCCAATCCATGTCCCCCATACTAGGAACCAAAATCTAATTTTGGATGCATCTCTTTATAGTGACAGAGGAGTCAGTATCCGAATCTCAAAATATATATGTAAATATGGTATATAAGTGTATACAGTTCAAAACAAAACACAAGGACGCATGCATTTGCATAAGAAAAGCATTTCAACAAAAGCAACATATATCAAAGTACATTTAAAAATGAATAACATAGGCAAAAAAAACCCACGGCTGCCGTGGTGTATAATAGCGCACAGGTCGGATTCTGCACTGTAATGGCTGGAAAGAGCTGGAAGTGTCTCTTAAAAGATGCTTTTGTAATCAAAGCTGCTGAGAAATTGCAGCGGTTAAATATTTTGATCAGCAGTTTGTTAAAACATCACAACTGACACAGTCGTGCGGTCTATTGGACATGTGTCAGCACTTCAGGTGGGGCTTTTAAAGCGAGGCGTACTTCAGTTCTCTGCAGTCACTGATACCCCCACCACTCAGCCTCCATCCAAACACCCAGTGCACTTAACACACGATTCTTACACAATGTGTGTGTGTGTATATATATATATATACTGACATAATGTATCTCAGAGCTGAAATCCAGCCCTGGCCCAACATTTAATTAGGTTTCTTCAGACTTAATAAGACATATGTCAGAGTTAGTGTTGTGTGACAAGCCTTGATGTGAGATATTATATGGCGCTGCTCTGTAGATAATGCATATTATGTATGTAGCTGGTGGTTAACAAGTCTGCTCGAAAGCCTTCTTTTCTAATGTTATGTGACATAAGTATATAGAAATCATTACAATTCACTTATTCGGAGTAATCGGCCCTTTTTCTTCAGTTGATTCTGCGCCTTGGAAATCTTTTAGCTCAGCCTACACAGCAATTAATTTTTTTCCCATCATAAAATGAGAGAGAAGCAGAATTCAGCCTTATTATACGGGTGCCTTGGGGAGGCGAGGGATTAAGATGGTTCTAATGAGGTGACGGCTGTAATAAGAGTGTCTTCAGCAGGCCTCCAATGCACCACCTCTAAAACACGACTCCTTATCAGCAAGGTTTAGGAGCGATAAGAGCCCCCCCCAAAAAAACCCTCTTTCCCACTCGCCTCCTTTTCTGTCTCCCTTCACTTCTCCTCCTCTGCCTCCTTCCATCCACTGTAAATGAGTCTGATCCCTTTCAGATGTGATTCAATTAATTTCTCTTAGATTTAATTACAAGCGAAAGAGTCCAAGTTATCCCTCTCCCCTCGATAGGGGGTCCACGCTTCCTAACAAGCTTCCTCTGGTGAGTCAGGAGAGTCTTAATTACACTTTTTACTTTTCTTTTATCCCACTTTTTCCCTTGTCTGCTCCTTCTACTCCCTCTGGTCTTGCCAGTTTATCCTCACGCATGTTTGTATTTTGTGTGCAGGACTAGACTAAGAATGGTTAGCAGTTATCTACTTAACACCTTGCAAAACATTTTCATGGTTAGATAATCGAGTCTCGCCGCAGGCTACGTACATCTGTGCGCAGTTCTTCCAAAGAATGACATTTCCTTTTCAGGTAGCTTTATTTGAATAGTTTTGAAGGGCAGTGTAAAAATTTATGGACTTCTGTGTAACAAATGTCTTTTGTTTTGTTTTTCCCCTCCTGCCTTGTAAATCATTATTTGATGCCTTCTGAAGACTCACTTTTTTTCCTTTTTTCTTTTTTTTAACATGCATAACCCACTGAAAACATCGGTTTCAGGTGCAAGCAGGCAGGGCCTGCAGGTTCTTCCTCATTTCCATGTTTGTTGTTCAGTTAGTAGTTTTATCATTCCAGGCCTTTATCAAAACTCCCTATTTTACAGCTGTCTCAGTCAAAGTCCAGCTTGTTCCTTAAAAAAAATTGCTGCAGAGACAGATTTTCAGCAGCAATTTGCCATTCAAATACTTTTCCATTATACCCTTTAACATTTCATGCTGCACCAATGCCCGTGTATGGCTACACACGCCTTTGATAAAAGACAAAAAGGACAAAACAAACTGCTAAGCTTTGGTCTGCCTTCATGAATGTGGCTATTGTTCAAGATAGTCATTATCCAAAACACAACACACTGGCCTAATCTTTTCTAGATAGTATGGAAAATTATGTAAAAACAGCATGATTCACACTCACTGGACTTTCTGACGCCATAAAGGTGGATACAGTGAGATTGTTTGTCCTTTTTTGTCATCGCCGGCAGTAGGCAGTTGTGAGGTTGTTATGGTGACGGATGACCTGACTACACACAAACATGTGGCTTTTAGCATTTGCATCTACCATGTTTGTTTACCAGCCGGCTTTTTTTTTTTTTTAAAGAACCTTTTTTATTAACTCATATCGTTGAAATCAATCATAGAGGAGCTGTTGAAAGTCCTACAGAAAGCTCAATTGTGCTGAAACCCTGAACAGTGCTCGTGTGTGTGTTTTTGACAGTTGTGCGTGTTTCACTTGTATTTTTCCTACAGGCCTCGTCCTCAACGAGCCGCATCCTGGACAGCCAAACAGTAGGAGAGCTGAAGGCTGAGATCATCTCTTTGAAGGGCTTACTGCTCAGCAGGTAACAAAGTTATCCCGACCCCTGTCACATGAAACAGGCCAGGTGTGCGCGTGTGTGTGTGTGCATTGAAAGGCTTAGGACTTGGTGTTTTTTTGCACGTTTGAGTTCCTTAATGCAGTCCATTTGAACTGTGTGACAGTGTAAAACTGGGACAAAGCACCATCAGCATGATATGCAATTTGATTCATAAAACAACTCATTTGTTAGCATGTGGTAGCTCTTATTCAGATGTGATTTTTGACAGCACTAGGGGTGGGTTTTGATGATCGATTTATCGATTAAAATCGATTCTGGCTCGGATAACGTGATATCGATTCATTAAAATCCTGAATCGATTTTTTAATATAAATTTATTTTGCCCGAAATGCCAGAACTCAGGTTAAACCTCACAAAATTTCAACAACCACCAAATAGCTAAAACAGTGAATGAGAGCAGGAACACGGATTCTGCACATAAATGTAAACACAAAGCTCGGACCCGCCGACGAATCAGAATCAGTGAGATGTCACCTTTCTCACGGTCGGGGCTGAAAGCCGACAGCTCGCTGATTCTGATGTTTCGGCGGGTCCGCGCTTTGTGTTCACGCCCTTTTTGCGCTGATTCTAAAGCTGTTAGTTTGATCTCTCTCCAAACAATATTGACCGAACCAGCAGCAAAAGAAGATCCAAAACGCTTCACATAAACATGGATTCCCTCTGACTTTTGCTGTTTTGCTTCCAACATGATAAAATCACACGTCATGCACAGCTCGCTCTCTCCCTCTTGCTCTCTCTGTACTTCAAGAACAGTTTCCTGTCTAAAAATCTGATTTCTGTATTATTCGCTTGCTTGTTACGCACAAATCTACCGTTGTTTGCAGCGCTGTCGGCCGCTGTTTTTTTTCCTTTTACTTACTTCCAAAAAGAAAACCTAATTTCTGCTGTTCAATGGGCTACTGAACAAATTAAAACTTTTTAAAATTATGCAAAATGCAAAACGCTGTGTCTCTAATAAAACCGCTGTAACTTCAGAGGTAATGTTCATATGTTGATTAATGGTTTTCTTTTTTGATGTACTGCAGAGCATTTTTATAAAATCCCAGGCCAGGAAAATCACCTTCGTGTTTTATCTTCAGCTACTTTGACACAAAGGCTTCTGCTGTGATGCTCACACCTTTGATAAAGTCTTGCGAGTGTCAGCTTCCTTTTTATAGATACAAAAATATGTAAATGTACTGATCTTAATTAGAATATTTCTGACTTTCTGAGGCAAAATTTCCCAGATACAAATCGAATTGAATCGAATCGTGGATCGAATCGTTTCGGGACCTTGTGAATCAGAATCGAATCGATTCTAGAAATCAGTGACGATACCCGGCCCTAGACGGCACGTCTTTTACACCACACATTAAATCAAATTTAAACTGCCTATCCAACACCTTAAGTTTGCACCTGCAACTGGTTATTTCATTTCATTGAAACTTGTTTTGGTTTGTGTAGGATTAATAGAAGCTACTGACACATTATAATATATATTTTTAAATGTGTATTTCTAATGCAACACCTAGCAGCAATTGTATCATATTTGCAGATGTTGTACATTAACTTTGAGCGTGACAGTTATTTGGTGACTATTAAACATACCTTGACAAATTTACATTCAGTGAACAGTGATCTGTTGTCATCACATCACTAAAGCCTGTTTGCTGAGTAAGGCTGTGAGATACGGTTGTTAATGTTAGTGGACCGAAACTCAAAGTCCATATTTTGTCCCTGGAGGTCTGAGTTTACACTCTCAGAAAGCGTGCAACTATAAAGCTCTTTTGCAATCATTGCACACTCATCAAAAGCTCTTACCAAAACTAAAATTTTAACACCTTTTTAATTTTAAAACCTGCCTGGTGTAAATTTAGCTGATATCTACTACAAGTTTGTCACGTTGAGCAGCAGTTGACTGCTCCCAAATGCTGCTGCACCTTTGGGATACATGCAAGATCTGTGTTTCTATGCCAGAACAACACGCCAGGCGTGCTCCCCCAGACACTTCATGACCTTGTATTAGACCCCTGACAGACTGACCCTAGGGGATGATTTCACAGTTCAGTGACAGAAAAACTGGAGAGCCTGCTTCAAGGTGGCGTTCTAACCTGATGGGCTTGTGCAGTATTTTTTTTGTTTGTTTTCTTTAAGACAAAAAATTGGAACTCACACCTTTGTTCTAAACTACTTTAGATTACCTGAAGGTTTGTGTACTAATACATAAGAAAACAAGAGAACACACGATAATCACATCAGTCTTTATTATAACATTTCGTGACTTGGGTGGGCCAGTTAACATACATCAGGCATCAACTGGTGTTAGTAACAAAGGTGACCATTAATATACTCCAGTTGATCTGCTGCAGCTTCATAAAAAAAATCATATTCATTTTTTACAAAGTAAATAAGATTGTAAAAACTGAGAAAATCTCCTAATCCAGATGGAACCCGACTTTTTAGGCCAACATTTATACTGATACAGAGTAAAACCATTCTGATAATATCGATACGATGGCTCACATTGCTTTTTTGTGAAAAGAGTTGATGATTATAATGCTTTAGCAAGGTCATTTGAAAACTAGTCGGCTACCAGTACTGAGAGGATGTTGCTTCACTCTGCAGCGCAGTCTTGTCAGCTGTGATGTCACTCTGTTGCATTCAGCACTGACAGCATTATAAACAATAGACTTGGAGCTACTCTGTTGGACAGACTGTGCAATGCTATAAACTTTGAAAATTACTTAACTGCAAAGTCTAGATGTACCTATAGTGTGATGGTTAATAATAAAAAAATGTGCAAGGCCTTTTCTGTGAGCGTGGTGATAGACGTCCCCTCTTTCTTTTCAGCTTTGTTCCGCAATCTAGTCAGCCGCAGCCCAGCTCAGTCAGGCCCATTAGCATGCATGATTATGTATTAGTGTCTATAATGAAGCCTGAAGTAAGAGTGTACATCAGAAAACCTGCGAGGACGAAAATTGCCTCAGTACTGTGTAGTTGAGCTTGTTTTCTTCCCCTCATACATTCTAATCAGTAATAATCCCTTTGTCATTTGCTTTCTTGACTTCATCCTGACTGTCACAATGAGTTTTCTGGCAAAGGATTGAATTACAAAATAAAGGCTCCGTATCACCATCTGTCTCCAAACTTGTTCCTTTCCTGTTCAAATGATCCAAAACGTCTCCAAACTGTTTTTTTAAGCACCAAGAAGTGCTGAAACCCATTCAACATTGTCTTTTTGATCTTAAAAGCTGCAGTGGGTGTAATTAAAAAATCTTAGAGCATCTTTACCAGGTGTGATGAACATCTGGCTGTTTCGGGGGGAAGAGAAAAAAACATTTTCTCTGTTGTAATTATGAGAATTACATAGGGTGGTTAGTGTGCGGCTGCATGCTAAAATGCAAAAAAGTGTTGAGACGTGAGCTTGGCTGGAAAGTTATACATGGTTTTGTGGTCATATTATGTCCAAATATGGTTGTTTACATCGTGGGAAAGCTCTTTTCACGTCTTTTGATCACAGCGAGGTTTGTGATGAAGCTGCAATCAGGCCTAATTCTGTTCAACGCTGTTGTCTGTCACCCTTTACAGGAAACAGTTCCCCTCCACTCCCTCTGTTCCTAAGATCCCCTCATGGCAGATCCCCCTGAAGCCACCTGCAGCATCTAGCACGCCGTCCATTAACCACACCAACAGCAGCAGTGACATCTCCCCTCTCAGCAACGAGTCCACCACCTCCTCCCCCGTCAAAAATGGACTCCACAGCCCCCAGGATGCACTGGGAGGGCCCGATGGAGCCCATGGTATCAATGGAGATATTTGCACCGTGGGCCTGGGCACAGCGTTGCCCCTCGACCAGGTTCGCATGGAGGTGCAGGGAGAGGAGGAGAGGAAAGATGAAGATGAAGATGATGTCAGCCATGTAGAAGAAGAAGAAGAAGAAGAAGGAGAGGAGGAGGAGGAGGAGGAGGGTGGTCTAAGCATGCAGACAGAGGACCGGCGAGGTGGGGACGGACAGATTAATGAACAGGTAGACAAACTGAGGCGGCCCGAAGGTGCCAGCAACGAGAGCGAAGTCGATTAGACCAACATAAGAGTACAAAAACACTTCAGAAGACCACCTCTCATCCCTGCTGATAGCTTTGTTTCTCGCTGCTCTCACATACAGGTTTTTCTTGCTTTCTTTCTTTTTTTTTGTCAGTTTCCACGTGCTTTTGTCACATCATAACGTTGAGCAGAAGGAGGAGTAGGAGTGCAAGTATAAGAAGAGCCAGACCTGTGTGATGACACACAGGTTACCACATTTTACTTTTCTTCAAACTAAATGACTGTATCCCGAGCCAAGCACTGTTGTGATGTTTCTTTGAAAGGACAAGTGACAAGCAGCAGTCAAATCAGAATGACTTTTATCAGCCTTTGTGCAGTACTAACCATGTGTGACTTACTGCCTTTAATTTCCATGATTTGATCAGATAATCCTCAGCTTTGCCTCGGTGTCCTTGTGATTGTACTAAGACTCAGACCAAAGAGGCAGCGCCGCACACAATATGTCTGCTGTACAGCGCATCTGCGGGTCAGGAATCATAAGGTGGTGCTTGAGTCTCGGTGTTACCGTGAGGTTCCAGTGGAGCATTAGCAGAGTTTGTCTCACTGTTGATGGGAATAGGAGAGGACAAGCTCTTCCAGGGCCGGAGCTTTTAGCCTCTTTTATGTGTCCTTTCGCATTGGTGTCAGTCTGTCAATAATTTACAAGGCCAGCAGGGTGGCATTTGGGTGAAATAAAACCCCTGAAATTCGAGATTAGAATGTGATGACGGGCTTTGTTCCATGCCGGTGTCAGAGTGCTCATACGCTCAAAGGAGGGGAAGATAAATGTTTTTTTTTCTCTCTCCCTCTCTCTCTCTCCCCCCACTTTCGTTTTTCACTGTGGGCTGAATTGTGCATCTTTGCGAGCCGTGTTTGCGGGAGAAAAACCGAAGGCTGTCTGCTGAGCTGTATCTGTGTCTCCAGCAGGGCAGCTGATTTGGTTTGTGAAGTATGTTAATAATCAAATGATCAACAAATAACAGATGTATTAGTTCATGCAGCTTGAAATGTCAAGGAGGCTAAAAGCGGAAATCTAATACAGAAAGCCCAGTTGCATTGTATTATTTTCTGTGACAAACCCTCCGGTCCAAATTATGTAGGGCCTCCTACAGTGAGTAATCTTTACAGAAAACGGCGCCAATATTTTGTAATTAAGCTGCAGTAAGACGACGAGCGCTGCCACAGATGGAAGTTGCAGAACTCGTATCACTTTTTCTTTCTCAGTGTGGAGGTGGATGGGGGAAGTAAAAGAAAATTGCCCCATGATTGAAAAGGAAAGTAATAAATGAATACTTGACTTATTGAATTACTCACTCCGTCTCTAGCTAACAAGAAGAGTCCATGAGTGAGAAGAAGGGATATCAGCTTGTGCCATTTCCACTTCCAACACATGGCCTCCATTGGGACACAGAAAAGGTGGAGGGGACACTGCACATTTCTGAGATCCTGTCCTGGCCTGCAGATTGTATGTTTAGTGATTTGAATTGACATTAAGCTTAACCTTAACAGGAAACATTGCAGTTAAGGTTGTTTTGTTTTGTTTCCTTTTGTGTGTATGTGTACTCAGTATGCCTCAGAACCACTGTAGTTTCAGTGACGGGTCCTTTCCCTGTAACTTACTGAATAAACACTGTCTTCACTGCAGTTCTAACTGTAATAAATTTGATTTATCTCAACAAGAATCTCCTATATTTATTTTAAAACCAACAGTGCACGCAGAACACACTTCGCTGCACTTTAGTATTAAAAAGCAACTGTACAATTATAGATTATGCTTATTGCAAAATTGTTATCAAGCTCAAGTTACACAGAACTTGCCCTTTAGGTCTTCAATTTTTGCTGCTTTTAATAGTCTGGGAGATTAAATGGATTAATATGTTCAGTTGCAGATCAGGTAGCAATTGTTTTTGTATGTTTTTCTTATATCCCTGATTTTTTTCTGTTTGATTTGAAATATTTTGAGACTTTTAGCCACACCAGAATCTCTGTATATCAGTTTTTTAGACTTTCTTTTTTTTCTTTTGGGGTGTGGTTTCCTTTCATAACCAGCTGTAATCCGTTTGTAACTCCACCACCAGTCAAGCATGTATACTGTAAGTACATATTCCTCTACTCTAGTTAATTTTCAGAAAGCATGACATAGCAGGGACTTTTTTTTCAGCTTTCTCTCCAGAAATGAGTGGACGCGGCTATACATTAAATAGGTGAAGGTTTGTTTATTTCTACAGATGAGTCATTAGTGCCTTTCCTATGGTTTTCAGTATTGTGTGCCCTGGTTTATTACTCAGTTTTCAATTCAGTGAATATGACACTTTTATTTTGCTATCATTTTTTAGTCAAAAACTTTATTTACTTACTTACCAAACACACAGCCAATAAATATAAAGAGCAGAAAATCCTTTAACTTATTATACACATTGTAAAAACAAACAGCAAAGCACTCCAACCACCTATATTGATACTTGCCCAATCTCGTTGACATCAAACGGTGCAGAAAAGTTCAGAGCCCAGTTCAGAGGGGTCGATTGAGTTCGCCACCACTACTGGCCAAAACCAGCCCTCCATTGTGGGTGGTATGGCATGTCCCCCCACCTGGAGGTCAAGGGTTTCAGAATCCCCTTTCTAACAATATAAACTAATATTGCAACCAGTTTGGCAATATATTGATAACAGTAAATTTTGATTATTCATAATGGTCTGGGTGTTCTACAAAAAGTCTAATTTCCTTTTCTGAGACTAGGCTGTATGTGAAAGATGGAAAAACCCACTGTGATGATGCTCATTGTTTTTTAAAGCCCCCCTTTTTTTGTTTTTGTTTTTTATTATTGCCACCACCATCATGGGTTTTTGTAATCAGAGGTTATAAAAAGAGCACAAACACGACAAAGAAGTCTGGAGCAGTGAAAGTCCATCCACGTGTCAGTCAAAGTGGCCACGCCTGTAACTTTAAAACTTGTTATGAAAAATGACCCCATGTACAGTTGTCATGATGGAGGAAATTTGCTGTAGAGAAAATATTTTTGGATCTGGATGCAAGCAGTTTTATTTCCGCTGTTAAGTTGGGCATTTTAACACATGGCTTGACTCACTTTTGGAGCCAGACTCAAGGAACTGCAGATTTTGGCCCTTTTTTTCAGTCCTGGAGGTTGCTGCATGATGACCGCAGAGTTTGTTACCACACAGTAAGTCTTGAGAGGATTTCAAGATCAGAGCAAAAACGGGCCACAAAATGCCAGGGATGACCTGAGGTAACACCGGAGGAGGCGAGTTCTGTTATCTAAAACCATAAAGGTTTATTTTAGCAGATCTGCGCGCTCAGCTTTGCGCTGTCAGATTAAACCAAGAGGTTTTCCATATGTTGTTATTCCTTGTCAAAACCTGGTGCCTACATTACCTACACTGCAAATCATCAGCAGACACCATAGCTGGCATTAAGAGTGTGTAAGTAGTGGCTAATGTAGACTTGACTTGCTGTGCTATCATCACATTTCATGCTGCTTCCTCTGGAGCTTCAAAGATTTTATAAAACCTTTCCTTCCTTTCTTGCACATTTGCAGAAGTACTCCTTTACAGACTTTCGTGGAGTTCCCCTTTAATTGAAGGCAATCCGATATTTATCACATTCACAGCAGAAAAGTATTGGACTCACTGCTTCTACTTGGCGCCATATTTCAAACGGATGAAGCCGGACTGGATTTTACAGCATTTTTTTTATTTTTTTTTAGCTGTGTATGAATGTCAGTTGTTGAGTTGAGTTGTTGTGTTTCCTAAAGTCATTTTAGCTTATTGTCATATCTTTCTGTAGTAAACTTTTAGGCAATCTTTGGAAACAATTCAGTGAACCTTCATTTCCTTTAAATGTACAGCTCAGGCTGCTGATGAATATGTGGCCTTCTAAGCGCTGACATCACAGATCAAATCACTGCCACAGTTTATTTTCTCAATGTGTAGTTTTCTGTGGATGGGCTCAAAAAAAAGCATTTTTCCACCTACACAAGGCATTCTTATTGCCATACGTTATCGAGTGTATGAATTTAATTTATCATAGTCTAAATGATCAATAGCATTTCACATATTGATGAGGTGTATAAACTTCTCTGAGGCTTGATACCACATCCCTTTGTAATCCATTAACCTCTCCCTGGAGTTCAGGCCAACCTTAGATTTATAGGGACCTACAGTAATAAATCTGCTTGTACATCATTTTGTGTCTTGGGGATTTTACAGTGCATTCCAGGCAAGAAAGCGCCATCTATCCTACCCTCATATTCTCATCTGCATTTTAACAGCTTCAACAACATCTGAAACAATTTGCATTCCCTTTCAGAAACCGTGTGACTGTTTAAATGTTTTCCCTGGTTAGGGATAGCATGTTAGCCACTAACCAGAGCCTCTCGGCGTGGTAGAGCTGTGAAGGATTGGTTGTCCAAAGCAACACCTTGGTTTTGACACCATTTGGCTCCCCGGTTGGGAGCCTTAACCTCATCAATCTTGCTGCTAAACGGAGAGCACTCAATAGGATAGTGTATCGACGTGCTCTGAACTCCATTGTTCACTGGAACTGAGCACTCAGCAGGTTAGAGGGCTGAGTGTCTCCTTGGATCAATGCAAGGGCTGTTAGCCCATTGCAGCAGCAGAGGGCTACCGTGGCTCTGTCAGCATCGCACACACACACACGTGCGCACATCATCTCCACTCATTTAAAACTCTTTGACAACCTGAGTGTTGATCCTGGCTCAGTTTTTGTTTTTGCATCACAGTGATTTGGGGTAATTTACATCCTAGCAACACAGATCCAGTTCTTCAAGCATCAAGCTCCACCCAGTTTCCAAACATCTGCCTCCAACGGGAAGCATTCTGTGATTTGCATAGGAAAGGTCACGGACAATTCCCGAAGAGGATGAAAACCTGACAGTTCCTCTTCCCTGTCAGATAGCGTGAACGCTGTATGTATCTGGGAGCAATCTACAGCAGTACGTGATGCGTTATCAGACCTTTGAAAACAAAACTGGTTGACTTATCACCTGGAAATGTCCATTTTCTCCACGGAAATCCATGTTTCTCTCCTAATTATTTCAAGATGTTTTCATCAAAGTTCATCAAATTGATCTGTCTGATTGGTCTAGTGCTTTGACCCAGACTGAAGTCCAAATTTGGAATGGGCTCAGACTGGACTTTCAGGCTCTATACCAATTTGTAAGGAGAACATTATTTAGATATCTTCATATATACACACAAAATATAAATGGAGTATATTAGACTTATATTTTCTACCTATCAGAAGGTTGGTGGTTTGATCCCTGGCTCCTTTGATCTGCATGTTGAAGCACTGTTGATCATGCAAATGAACCCTGATGATTTTTTTTAACTGTTTGCCATCCGTAAGTCAAATACTTGGGTTAGTTATGTATCTCTAAAACTTGGACTTCATAACTTGAAATTTCAAGTGACAGTAGGTATCTCTACATTTAAAATTTAAAATTATATCAGAATGAAGTGTCAGATTCAAGCTTCTATAAACATTAGATAATATTCTATAATAGGGATTGGTCTTAAAACCTGTTCAGTGGATTAACATAAGATGTGGTACGTACGTTCATGTTCCCCCTCATTACAAACTGGACTTCAATGATGTTCGGACTTTTCCTGTAAGGCGGCATTAGTTTAAAAAAGTCTACTTGCGTAGTAGTTGCTGTTTCAACAAATACATGTGGCAACTTTTCCAGATTCCCATCGTCATCATGCATTATGTTTATTGCCTGTTCATGAGGGATCACATGCTACTGTGCTAAACTAAAAAGGAAACATGATAAAACTTTACCAGTGTGAGCATGTTAGCATTCACCTCAAAGCTCTGGAGTAAGTTCAGATTCTCTGAGCTGCTGGGCTGTACTGATTGTATTTTTTAATATACATTTGCGTATAGGTTAGTGGTTTTTCTATGAATGATACAATTCCTCAAACGTGCTTCAGCAATAAATGTGAGGAAGCATAGGTCACCTCCAAAAGCTTTCTGTGGCTGCCCCTCTAAAAGCAGCCTACCAGCTCTGAGCGGCCGCTGAACACTGGCTCCTTCCTGGTGAAAATGAGAACATTTGACAAGCCAAGGTCACCAGGGGGCTTTGCCTGTATAAGGCTTCAATCGCAGAGCCCAGCGAACACCGCAAAGTCATAAAGCACTTTGTCATCACTCGCTATATAAACTCTCAACAATCAAGTGGGATCACATTCCCTGCCTCCCACCCTCCCACTTTGTGTGGCCCGTGTCACTTGATTTTCTCCTGGCGCTGTTTCAAATCCAAATGGAGTACGTGGATACTGGAGGGCTGTCATGTATAAGGCTGTGGGGCCTCTTTTGAACCTGAAGGAAAGCTTTAGTCACTTCACTGACAGGTAAAGGAAGGTGCTGGTAAGGAGCAATGAGGGAAAACAGCAGCAAGCTGTTAAAAGAACAGGGAGGTGGGTACTGGCTGGCAGTATTTATGAATGGTCCAATAATGAGCCATCGGGAGCGTGGTGGCCATGAGAACATGAGGGGAGACAAGAGGTAGAAAAAACAAATGCCCTTGTCCTGCACTCGTAGAGAGATTGGATTATCCAAGGGAAGGCCTGTCAGCCGGCTGAGGGACCGCGGCTGGAGGCGGCGCAGGGGCAACAGGTGCGACGCTTGCT